GATAACTAAACTCCCATGTGTATTTTTATTTTTACGCCAGGGAGATGGGCGCCTATGTAAACCTAACAGACATGAGTAATATCATAATAGTTTGCATAATTTACGAGTATTAGGGAATGCCACTATGCAGAATATTTTTGTTAATAGCTTTATTTTTTCCTTCATTTTAAAAGAAATTTAGTTTTTTAATTTTTTTATATGAAACAAAATTTACAAAACAAATAAATATATTAAGATACAAACGAAATTTATATTTATATTGCATGTTATACATGGTGTTTTTGTAATAATTTTTTTTGTGACAATAGAATATAATAATAATATCTCTCCTCCTCATTCTAACTAGCCCATAAGTCGGAGACTTGTGCGGGAGAGGAGGCGGCATATTATTATTAGGCAGGCCGCATTTGCGCCCAGGAACGACTTATGTTAGTAGGCCCTAACCACCATTCTGTGCAGGAATGAGGGAAAAATGGAAAACCTCATTAATTAGGGGGGTGGTCAAATGTCAACAGGTGCCAATCTCTCACATTGACCCAAGCCAACATTTTTCCACCCTACCATACCTGCACAGAGGGTGCCAATCCTCCGTACAAGCATAGAAGAAGAGATTATGAGACTTTTCTTTTTTTTTTGAGGCAAGATGTAGAAAATGTGTTAATTTTTTAAAGGGAATATTTAAAGGGAAAATGTATTCACACAAGATACTGTCATCTGCTAACGTCGAGCTGTCGAGTGGACAAGTATGGCATAGGTAACCAATATAAATAATTTCTATTTCTGAAAAAAAAAATTCAGGCTTAGAACCATTTAACCAATACAGTGATATTGTAAATTATTAGAATTAATAAGTGACCCAAATTTACATAAATGTTGGACGCCAAATTTTGCTAATGGAATTAGAGCTGATATATTTTAACTGAAGCCCTGGTGTAAGGATATGTGCATAATTTTGAAAAATTCTTTGCTGAATACTGTTTTCCATCTTGAATCAATAAATTAACATAAAAGAACTAAATAATGTATTTAGTTTCGTTTGCGAATAATCAGTTTTTGGCATTATATGTGGACATACTGCTCAAGCGGATATGAGCTTTCACTAATGAATATTCGTAGAAATTCCTCACAAATATCTCCTGGAAATTAATAGACCCGAATAATAAATCTAGTTGTTTTTTCAAGTAATCATTTCTCTAAACATTTTTAGTGATAGGTATGTAACAGCATTTTATGTTACTTTAGTAAATATTCACACACTTTTATTGAAGAATATTCATCTATTAGTGAATTTTACGAATATTCATTAGTAAACGACAATATTTATAGAACGTCTTTACGTATCACGTAAATTCGTTACAGAAATCATTATTTGCTCATGAAGTCAGATCAATGATTCTGATTTGTTAATTCTCATGTAGACAAATATTTGTGAATTCTACGAATATTTGTTAATGAATATGTGCTTAACGAATATGCCCATTTATATCGTATAAAAGCTGATTATTCGCAAACACAGCTAAATAAATTACTTGGATTTTTTGAAGTATTGATTTACTGATTCAAGATGGGAAACATCTGCTTTCACTTAAAAATATAGAATTTTTATTTACAAATGCCTTAAATCTCACAAAAAATTAATATATTTTTTATTTTCTAAAGTGGATTCTTCAGAAAACTAAGAATTCCTACATCAATGCTTTTCTTTGAATTTTTCATAATTGTATTTAAGTAAAAAATGTATTAATAAAAACTCTTATATGAGAATTATTTTTGGCACGAATAGTGTTACTCAGCCCTTAATCAATTAAGTCATTATCTACATCTTAAAAGATGTTTAATAAATGAGATATAACTTCGACACTCTGTATTTCGTAAACGAATCGTTACCGATCGCACGTTTATANAATATAATTATCTATAATCTAAAAGAAAGTGATACAGATCGGGGAATTTTAATATATTGATAAATATCATATTCTAGACAAGAAATTTGTAAAAATATGTCTTTAAAAATTATATTTGTCATTATTTGTCATACAGGGTGTAAATAAATAAGTGGGAAAATATTAAAGAGGTGATTCCTTTTTGAAAATTATGGTGGCGAAGACACGAATTCTTCAAAAATGGGGAAAAAATTAGTTTTTATTTTTTCCTTATAATGGAGAAAGTTACAGTAATAAAATTAGGTATAATTTTCTTAATATCAAAGAAGCACATACTGGATCAGTTCTTGATCTACCCTTTGTTTGTAATGGGTAGAAGTAACCACCCCTAACAGGTAGAATTTCTTGCAGAATTTCCTTTTCCCAATATGGTAATTTAAATATTTGTTTTAGATGGCTTGATCTACTTTTTTTTGTAAGTTTTCGTACAAAAGAAATAAAATAGGCCATAGTGTACAGAAATATCGTTCATTTTAGTAGAAGAGTAGTTTTCCATAAATAAATTAATCAAATTTAAACAAAAACGCACTCAAAGTAGTTTTTAACAATCATATTTACGTTAGAAAAAAGTTACATTAGAAATTACTTGTACTTGCAACCAAAAGTAAATGTCTTCGATAGTCGGAAAAGTGTACTCAGTTATATTTTTGTATCTGACGAAAAAAATAAAAATTAAATTTTTCTCTCTCCATTTAAAAGAATATCAAATGAAATAAATGTAAATGTTCAACTCCAGTAGAATAAATAATTCTAAAAATCCAATGAGTTTAAATCTGGAGAACATGGAGGTTTGATGATAGAACAACTACACTTCTCCCTATTAGGATATTGTTCATTTACCAACTGAAATTGAATACTTAGTGTTCTTTTCATCTGACATTATTATTCTGAAAGATCAAACGTTAAAATGAGTCATAATAGTTTCAAAAAATATTATTTTGCTGACAGTCTACTTCTTAATATACTACTTAGTTTTTTTTTGTTTATTTATATAAAAAAAAGAAAAAACGCCAAAGAGTATGTCACTATCAAGATTAAAAATTAGGATTACTCTAATCCCTAGATAAATGCTACTACAAATTATGCTAAATTTGACATAAGTCGGAATTGCTCTAATCCTCATGTAAAAAATTGAGACCACTCTAATCCCCACACCAAAAATTGGGATTATCCTTAATGTTTTTAATGTAAAGCCTAGATGTTGATGAATACTACAATCAGCTGTCATTGTACAGACAAATCTCTATTGCCAACATTAAAAATACTAAAATACTACAATTAAATTTTGATAATGTAATATAACTAGCACAAATTGACAAATGTCTAACCGCCATATTTGGACAAACAAGAACAACCAATTGCGGCTCTTGGTCAATCTAGGGACTTCAATTTAATGGATAAGAATCAGCATTGAATGCTTTTATTCCACAGCTAACTGAAATCTGTTCAGTAAAATTCCTAATCGATATTTTATGAATGCGGATAAAAATTCTTTATTTGATGGCTGGCAGATTTTTTTTACCCTATTTTATATTCAAATATTGTATTGTTTGATAATGCGAGTTTTGAAAATATGTAAATATTTTAAGAAAATATTTACAAACGCTGATAAATTGCCACAGATTTTGTTCATTTTATCGTAAACTTGTGTAATAATTGATAAGATATTACTACCCAAATAGCACAGTGACGTCCTTAAGATATTCTCAAGACGTCTTCTTCAGACGTTAGTCACGTCTTAAAGACATCCATTTACTCCTTACAGACGTTCAAAAGACGACTTATTTTAGGCTTATGTTACAAATCACGATGTCTTTAAGACGTCTTAATAATATCCTTAATTGGTCTCAAACAGACTTGAAAAATATGTCTTTAGGATATCTTTATAATGTCTATTATAGGTGTAAAACAGATCTGCAAAAGACTAAATATTTAATCTTTAGTTATACAGGGTGTTCCTAAATAAGTGTCGCAACGGAAAACTGTAAATTCCTCTTGAAACGGGAAACATGTTTTTCCTCTTCCATTTTTCTCTCCGGGCGTTCGTTTTCGAGATACACGGTGTCAAAACTTTTTTTCAGATTTTTGCCAATATCTTAGGAACCGTTTGAACTACAGGACTGAGCTTTTGTACACACATTACCATATGTTATTAATAGCTACTTGTTGCAAATATTATTAAATTTCGTTAACATTGTTAATTATTACTACCTATCTTTCGAATTACAAAAGTTTTTCGAAACGTTAGCAAAATGTTTGTTTTTGTTCATAAAGTCAAGTTGACTTTAGAGCAATGAACTAAGAGAACTCTTTTTGTGTAAAATTCATTGGCGCTTCAGAATTTGATGTCAAATGTCAATTTTTCCAGTGGCGTAAAAGTTAGGGGGGGGGAACCCTTACGATACCTTAAAATCTCCACCACTGGCACATTCAATAAATTAGAGAAGAGTGCGAAAAAGTAACTATTAATAGTGGTAATGTGTGTACAAAAGCTCAGTCCTGTAGTTCAAACGGTTCCTGATATAGGCAAAAAATTTAAAAAAAATGAAAGTTTTGACACTGTGTATCTCGAAAACGAAAGCCCGGAGAGAAAAATTGAAGAGGAAAAGAATGTTTCTTTTTTCAAGAGGAATTTACAGTTTTCCGTTGCGACACTTATTTAGGAACACCCTGTATAATTGCTTGTTGTTTTCTTTTATCACAAACAAAAACGGCAAGCAACATAGTAATCATGAATAGTGGAGAGTAGTCAACCATATTTATAGCCATTTGTATCTGTATCATAGAAATTTGTAGAAAATTTAAGTCATTTCACAAAACATTATTTTCCGCAAATATTGTTTAATATTAGTTTAATTACATCAAATTGAGTTGGTCAACAGATAAAATATTTAACTAGCGGATAGATAACAAAATTTAATATTCCTTGAACTAAAAAAAATCGTAAATATAAATGATCTTACACATGAAATAAATTTGCACATACATTTTTGAAAATAATTTTGAGATAATTTTGTTATAGATAAGTGAAAGGGTTAAGGGAAATAAAAACTGTTGCCCATGACTATAATTTATTTAGGTATTAATTATTTTTATTTATGGCACTATTTTTTCTATCGCTGGCTCTCTTGAGCCATGTTTGCATGGCTACTTCAGTCGCAGACCTACTCGGTGATACACCAGCCTTTTCCGCTGCATCTAGAAAATATATCAGTCAGAAAAATGTTGATGTGTTACATAACGAATGACTTACATATTATGACTTTTGACAAGTTAGACTTTGAAAAATTTTGTTTCCCTTTTCTGCCCAACCAACTGTATTTCAATGCCATGTCGTTTGTTAAACAAGTAGAAAGAATTCTTTTTACAAAATTATAGCATGTAGTGCCTCCAACTTTTGCTAATTCAGTAACCTGAAATACAAACACATTGTGTAATGTATATTTGGATTTATATTCAATTATTAAAGAAAAAAAGTTGCAGTTGACTTTCACAAGCTGAATCTTAATTCAACATCAAAAGATTTCAGTTTTTAGACACTTACAAAGTATAAAAATGTGCGTTTTACAGTACAGAAATATATTAAGTCACATTTTATTAAAAAATAAATTACTTTTAAAAGTTCAACTGTATGTACATTTCATTTTGGCCACCGTTTTAAAAGTAACATATTTACCAGTAGTTGAAAATCGTCCTCATTTAAGAGTATGGACTCCAAAATCTCCAATTCTTCATCGGTTGTTAAAGGTAATTTAATATTATTTTTTTTATAAAATGATTCATGGCCATCATTAAGAACCTGGCCCTTCCTAATTTCTTTTTTTATCGCTGCTACCTCTGACAAGATATCTATGGTCATCCCACGAATAATATGTATCTGTTCTATAAGAACTTTGAATTGTTTATCTACAAAAATTAGAGATTATATAAACGAGTTACAACAAATTGAAATCAGTATACCCTTCTCTGCACAGGATTTACAAACATTATTTTGTTTTTTGTTGCCACCATCCACTTCAACATTATCTGAAATGAAACAACCAAACTATTATTTTTTGTTTTCTTTTCTGTCAAGAAATTTTGTAATGAAAAAAAATTGAACTTGTCAGTACTTATATTAATTTTTATGTAAAATATTTAAAGTGTTCACCTAATTCTAGAATATCAGTATATGCCACTATGTTTTCAGATATGTCAGTAGCACTGCCACTTGCTTGAATTTCACTCACGGTACCTGGGAAAAAAAGATTTGGTTATTTACAAAGTAACAAAAAGTTGTGATTGTGAGGAACTAGAAATGTTTTGCTTTCCAGAACTTTGTCTGCAACTTCTAATGTTATTCAATGATAAAGGTTTCCTTTTTTTGAAAAATATTGAGTAAGATTTTGATAATAAAGAGACAATTACTTTTAGGAACATGAATAAATGCATCAGTGTTTTTGAACATTCTTTTGAATAGTAATATTTGTCCATTAGAAAACAGTATACTTTGTGCAACTACCAACTATCAGTAACTTTATCGATAATAATTATTAATTTATAATTTACCTTTTCTTCGAATTTTCTTCAATTTAGGTGGAGAGGGTAAGAAACTAACATCGCCAACATCTGACTCACTGCTAGAAAGAATTTTCTGCACCCTCTTTCTTTTAATTTCTTCTGTATCGTCAGAGTTTAAGTCACTTGTGTCTTCTGCAACTTTTGCTTTTATCCTCGCTTTCCCATAATCATCTGAAAATAAACAACTATTATATATCAAATAAAATTAAATATACTAGTATGACCTTACCAAAAGTAGCATTTCTAAATATTCTTACATTATGGCTTGGCCAACAAGTGTTCAGCGCTTCACATTTCCTTATTGCCTGAAGTAATTTATCTGTAGCAAATGATGGCCAGTGACAAATTTCCCCTTGAATCCAATTTGAGGGAACAGCTTCAACACTTTTGTCATCAATAAATAATACAACTGTCCAAGTTTTTGTCTCCATAGTCAAGGAAAGTCACGTCATAAAATCAATATCCCTTATGTAGTTGACTCACTCAACGCTGATGTTCAATATTTTGCAAAATTAAAGCAAAATTCTAGTTTTGAAAAGTCCATTAAAATAAATTAATAGTGCTGGATAATAGTACTGATTAATACATTGATTTTTGATAGGGCCCAATTATTAATATGCTGTTAAAGTATTTGTTAATTAACCTAGAACTCCGCAAAATTCTAAGCTTCAGTTAATTAACTTTAAGAAAATATTAATACATAAGTAATTGTTTTTATAAATTTAGATTCTTTTTTAACAAAATATAAACACAAAACCAAAACATTATATTCAGTTAAATCCTTATATAATAGTAACTATATAGTAGTGTCATGTGATGTGTGTAGAACTGGCAAAATTACAGATTTTTCAGGATACTCAAATTTTATACATTTGTAATCAACATTATCAACGTCAAAGAGTTCAGAAGCTCCTAAATTATTTGCATTGACCTTGACTGATTCATAAATTCCAAATTCTGATGATTTACATGGAACATCATAAACGGATCGTAAATTCAAATATTTGCTACCAACAATTTTATATCTATTTTGATAGAGAACTATATCTCTAATACTGATTATTTCACCAGTTTTTAAATGGCAACAATTATTTGGTTCTTCAATACATAAAATATAATGTTCAAAAGCAACTGTTTTAAAATGTTTCGAAAATTCATAATTTAATAACAACGTAGGATAATGTTGATCTCTGTAGATTGGAAATGTTTTATTTTGTTTACTGATACTTGAAACATTTATTTTTTCAGAATGTCGTTTTACTATTTGCTCTAAGGGTTTATCACATTTTCGAAGAGACTTTAAGATGCTTTGAAGAAAATTTTCAAAAGGAAATGCACTGAAACTATCCAGTGATCCATGATTTTTGACATCTTGTACTAAATGCAACAAGTTATGTACATTATGAGATATTTGTTCAGATCCATATAAAATTTTAAAAGTATTTACAAAATAATTTAATAACTCAAAAGCGTAATTAATTTGTGCCTTATACTGTGAATTGGATAAAATAGTTACAGCAACGTGTAAAGCTAGAAAATTATGGTACCTATCTTTACTGATATTATTTTTAAGCACCAAAGGCCCTGTATAGAACAAAAACTGGCGAAACTCTGTTGCTTTCCATCGCTTTAATTCATTTAAACTTCTTGGTTTTCTATTAAATTCGCGAGTTATGTATGGAGATAATTTAATTAGTAAAGAAGATATTGTTGAGATTTTTTGAAAAGAAATTTTTGTTGATGGTTTGCCACAACACCAAAGTAATAGAATCTTTTTCATAACTCCTAAACAAATCAAATGCATATAATCGAGAGGAAAGCTATTAATCATATCTATTCCGGGAATATTCTCAATTAGTGATGTACCATTATGATGATTTTCATCTACTTTAGACCTAAATTCTAAATCGGTTCTTAACTGAATATTATTATTACCATTAGGAAAACAAACCCTATTGTTTATATAATCGCCCTCTATTTGACACTTACTGCAAGATGAATATCCTGTGTGGCTCTTTGTATATTTAATGAAAGATTTTGCTGGTGCATCACATATAAAAGCTTTAATTTTTACATTATAAAACTTGCCATTTATAACAGTACCATTATTAATAATACTGGTGATATCCTCTACAAATTCTGCCAAAAATTCATTAGCATTTTTTGGTTTTTCATTGCCATGGTATATACCAACCATGTCCACAAAATTAAAACCAACTATACTACATAGTATCGGGTAAGCTTGGCTACTTGAGCTCTTTGATAGTGGCAAACCATCAATATTTATGTTTATCTCGATTAATTCCATATTTCTCTTAGACTCACTCAAATTGCTGACAATATTTTCCAGACAATATTTTAAACCAAAATGATAGTATTTACCAGGTTCTACTTGTTTCGAGTTTATTTCTCTTGTTGTTCCCAATAAGGTTCTAGAATCTAAAGGCAAATCATTCGATGTTGTTTTTAATAAACGTAACAACTCATTAAGGGCTACATGAGTGATATTGTAACGTAATGCCCAATTTCTCAATTTAGTTTTAAAATCATCATTAACATGGATATTATGGAGGATTGTTTCCTCAACATCAGCATCAATAAAGTCAGATTGATGAGTACTCGAAACAGGTAGACAATTGGTTTCAAAAACAGGAAAACAATCTGGTAATTCCTCTTCAACATTTTGTTCAATTTGAACAGTTTTCTCAACTATTTCATTTTCATTACTTTCAAAATATATATTCGAACTTGATATATTAGAACTACCACGACAAACTCTTTTTGCACGCATATAATATTTTTGAATACTTTTTGATTTATTCATTTTTAATAAACAAATATTATTATCAATGTAATTGTTATGATCCAAGCATCTCCCAAAAAATTTTAGTCACACAGTAGTTAAAAATGAAACAGTTAACTGTCACTATGTCAGTTACTGGTATGTTTTTTTAAGGTTTGAGATTTACATTAACGTAGACCTAAAACAAATTGTTAGTCGTTATGATATATCATCATCGCCCTATTGTGGTTTTTACAATAAAATATCAAAATATAATTATTTGTCAAGCTACTACGTCATAGACCTTATAAACTAGTTTACAAGTCTATGAACTTATGTCACAGCCAATATAATGCATACCATAGCCAATATAAGCTGTGCTTATGGTATGGTAAATGTCTAACCATTGTCTGCTAAATCGCGTCGCCAGCACGGGTGCTACGAGTTAGCAGACAATGGTCTAACAAGTAAACCGACAACTTTGTATAATCTAAGAATGTGCGTTATTTAACAGCAGAACATATTATTTTAAATAACCTTACCTTTTATAGAACGGAAATAAATTTAGTCTATCGCCACATTCACCAAAACCCAATCCAAGCTGTACATCATACGAATAAATTAGATTATTCCTCTAATAGCTGAACCGCCAAACCAAACAAGCCATAGAGATGTCAAATGTCAAAAAACGCCATTTGCATCTTGCATCTGAAAACTCAGTCACTTTTTTGCGAACACCGTTTTACAATTATCGAATACAATTTTTCGTGATGGACGCGTCGACACCGTTGGTATCAACACATAAAACTTGAAAAAAATATCGTATTGGTGCTCTTAAAATCAAATTGCGAGCAGAAATAAAACAAAAACCAGAAATATAGAAGATGTCGAAAATAACCGTGATTATTTTTGCCATACGATTTACAACCAATAAGAACCCTTAACTTGTATAATTTTGATATTTATACATAGAGTAGTTGTATCAATCAGAACATACGTTCATTTGAATAATATAACAGATTATCATTTTATAATTTTACCTCATTAATAGCACACACATATAAGTACTATTATAAAATGCCATACCAGAGTTACACTTTATATATCTCTCGTAAAAAAATAAACAACCAATAAAGGACAAAGTTACGTTGATCTGGGTTACAACGTCTTAAAGACGCATTTTGTACGTGATAATGAGTCGTCTTATATAAGTGTAACACAAGACGTTTTTAAAACATCTTTTTCAGGGACAAAGACGTTCAGACAAGAATAAGCCATAATCTGGACGTCTTAAAGACAACTTGTGCTATCTGGGTAGCAAATTCCAAATATTGAATTTATTTATAAACTCACGCTTACGAGTACATAAGTATGTGGTGTACATGATAAGAGAAATATTATACAGGATAGCACAATAGTACTACTTAAGTTAAAAATGAGTACTGGAATGCCTTTGTTCTGTACAGCTGCTATTAAAAAAATTTTAAAAATGTTTCACTCCAAGGACAAAGTTTGTTGGAAATGCATTTTATTCATAACGTAATTAAAAGTTAAAATTTGTTTTTATGCAGTTTTTTTTATACGGAAGACAGTTTGCTAAATTTCCAAACTTCGCCTCTCAGCAACACTTTAAAAAAAAGTTACGTAGACAACAGTTTTTGCGAATCAAAAATTAAAAAGGAATGTTGTTTTCCTCATATAACCTGGTTGATAAAGAAACACATTATCCACTATTTATATTAACTTATCATATCAAAATGTCAGATATTTGCGATAAAAAATTTGGAGGTGATGGATTGCTTTCATAAAATACTAAGCGTAAATTTAGTTTTGTCTTAAATGACAATGAACAGATCTAGCTTTACAAATGATGGAAAACCTTTTCTCGTATAACTGACAACATGCCTTCGAAATAATTTATTGTTGAAGTATCAAATGCAATCCCGTTGGAAGATAATTTTTCACATCTGATAGCATTGAAAGTAGAAAAACACAGTAGCAGTGAATCGAAATTATTATTATCCTCGTTATCTAAGCCCTCAAATAAATATGTAGCCATTATGTTGTGCTAAATATACTTTTTTTAATAGCATACAATAATTCTTGTATTGTCTATTTACTGTCAAATTTGACATCCAATAGCATTAAAATACGAACTGCAAAAAGACGCAGACCTGTATTATACATACACATACCACAAACAATATGAGAGAATAAATATAAATTATATTGGACCTGACTACACACTGAGACAACAAATTCACATAACAAACCAGATATCATAATGCTACAGATTTACTTGATTATATTTTTAGCAAATGATTCTTAGATGCAGATACTAGCCATTATTGATCTTAATATTGACTTGAACTACTTCAGAAGGAATAAAAGAACAAAAAGTTGTGTATTGTCCTCATACTTAGGATAGTTACAATGAGTCAAAGATTTAATAACATTTAAAGTATGGTATGAATGGAGTATAGTAGCGGCCTTAATATATTTCCTTGTGGTACACCAGATAATGCGTTAAGGGATCGTGAAAATTTATTAAGGAATAATTGTCTTCTTTGTCATTTAAATAAAAAGAATGCCATCAATCATTGTAAAGACTACTACAAATATACCCATTCTTTTTACGGTGTTAGTTTTATTGATGACCGATTGTCAATTGTTTTCTCAAACGGAAAGTATGTTTGTATTGCTTAAATGTCATTTTTTTTTTGTAAATTCAATTGTTTTCCATGGCATTTTTGGTAATTTTTGATATCTGACAACGGGCAACTTAAATAATTTTTAAATGTTTAAAAATTATCTGTAACCTTATATAGTCGTCAAGTAGTGAAGATATTAGAAATCTCTTATAGGCTGTTCATTAATAATAATTAATTACTAAAGTTTGATACGCAAAATAAAAGTGTTCGCCGCGCTAAATCGTGGCGTCATTTAGTGCGACGGAGAATCGCGAAGATGAACGCAGGGCAGGACAAACCGACAACATGAGCTCTAAAAGCAGCTAAATTCACTTTGTTTCGAAGCTCCCTGCATGTGTGCTTGTTTAGAATTCCAGATTAGACAGCAGATGGAAAAGAAATAGGCTGTGTTCTCGATTGCACTAAATGACATCACATGTATTCTTGATCACGTGACAAAATTTGTTTTTTTTTAAACATAATTTTACGTGTATATACTTGGTGTCGGTTATGGACTACAGAAAAAATTCAAATTTTCATGTATGTAAATAGTCTATTAGCAGTGTTTTTTGGGATATACTTACTCAAAGTAACTCGTAACTGTATTTTTGAACTATAGCTTTTGTGGGTTGCAGCTGACTGCCCTAATGGTCCTAAGGTATCATGTGACTTTAATTTTCAGTTATCGCGACGGTAGCATTGGCCTTCCTCCTCCTCCCCATGTGTCAATATATAATCAGACCATGCTCTGACGGCAACAAGATCTCCTTCGGTATGTGCGGCCGTTTCACAGCGGCGGAACTGCTCTCCTTCTCGCTCTCTGTGTTCATCGTGTGCATATGGGTCCTGACGGGTAAGCTCAAAAAAAAAATAACTATACAGGGTGTTTGTGAGTAACATACCATAAAAAAGAAGACATACAATTTGCCTATTAACAGTTGGCAAGAGGTGAGGTACTTCAGCATGTGGCGCCACCGATTTGAATTGGCAGATCAACGAACTAAATTGCTGCGGCGGGAATTTCAAATGTTCTATTTGTGCATATTTTAATTTTGTAACAAATATTTTAAGGTCATACACGATTTAAATTCTGTTTGATTTTAAATATTGTTTACTGGAATTGAGGAATATATCAAAACTACAAGAATTTGTGTTGAAAATGTTAAACTAATTTAAAAAAATGTACTTATATGTATAAATTACATCAATTCATTTACCATATACCTAAACTTTTTTAGGCCATTGGCTGCTGATGGACGCCATGGGCATGGGGCTGTGCGTCGCTTTCATAGCTTTCGTCAGACTGCCCAGTCTAAAAGTGTCGACTCTCCTACTGACTGGTCTGTTGATCTACGACGTGTTCTGGGTCTTCTTCTCATCCTATATATTCAGCGCTAACGTCATGGTTAAGGTACGTACACAAGAAATGGTACACGGTTGTTCGTAATTCTTATTTGCTAATCTGCCTTTTGTTCTAATTTAGGATTTGTTTGAAAAATCTGCGACAAACATTTTTTTTTTGGCCGATTAAGTACCTTTTTCTTTGTAGGTGGCAACTAGACCGGCGGAGAATCCGGTAGGTTTGGTAGCTCGGAAGTTACACATAGGGGGCGTCGCTAAGGAGGCGCCCAAGCTGAGCTTGCCGGGGAAACTGGTTTTTCCCAGTATACACAACTCTGGTCATTTCAGTATGTTAGGTAAGTTGTTCGCTTCATTTGGACGCTTCACTGAATCAGTTTGAAAACATAACCTCACAATTCAACTTCAAGGAGACAATCGAAGAAACGAAAACAATCGTAACGTTTGTCTTTCAGGATTAGGGGACATAGTGATGCCGGGCCTCTTGCTGTGTTTCGTGCTGCGCTACGACGCCTATAAGAAATCCCAGGGCCTGACGGGCTCCCGACTGACCTACTTCCACTGCTCCCTGCTGGGATACTTCCTGGGCCTGCTGACGGCGACCGTGAGCTCGGAGGTGTTCAAGGCCGCCCAGCCCGCCTTACTCTATCTCGTTCCGTTCACTCTGCTGCCGCTGCTGACCATGGCTTACCTCAAGGTAAGTAATCGGGCGCCGATCTAGACGGTTAAGCGTCTGGACGGGATATTTTCGATTGATTCGGAAAGTTGGGGCGTATGTTGCGGGAAAAGTAAGGGAAAGGGATATATGCCAGTCAAATTGTCGAAAATGACTCATTTTTTGCCAATAATTTAGTTCTGTAAACAAAGACGCGTAAAAGTTAGGAAAAATTCCATAGAATTGAATGAACTACTTTACCTCAGCTGAATGTGAGGGCTTCATTTTCAAAATGGCGTCCAAAGTTCGCAAAAAACAGTTTTATTCATTTAAAAAAAAAATAAACATTTTAGAAAAAAGTGTTTTAGACAAAAGTTGCAGAACTTTTTATAACAAAAATTTGAGCCCAGCCCTTTGTCAAGTGATAAACAAATGTATTAATTATTGCCAAAAAAAAGGGATAAAAATTACATTTTTTAAAACTTCTATATCTTTAAAATAAAAAAATATTTTTTTACTACACTTTCAGAGTATGTAGTCCTTGGCAAGTAGAATAAGTACATTTTTGTAAAATTGCAAAATATTAGTTTTTGCAAATATTGAGTTTTTCGAAAAAAATATCTTGGCCTTAAAATTTTTCTAAGAGTTGTACTTTTCTGTGCAAATTGTGCGCATATTGCAAAATAATTGGAAATGTGTGGAAAATCTACTGAAACTGACTTCTTTTTTTGAGTCGAAAATATTAATCTTTTTTCATTAAAAAAAAAACATTTTAGAAAAAAATTTTTTAGACAAAAGTTTGACAACTTTATATACCAAAAATTTTGAGCCCAGTCCAATTGATAAACAAATGTATTAGTTATTGCAAAACATCAATTTTTTTTTAAACTTCTATATCTAAAAAAAAAAGATTTTTTTTTGAAACTTTCAAAATATGTAGCCCTCGACAAGTAGAATAAATTAATTTTTGTAAAATTGCGAAATATTTGACAGTTTCTGCAACAATTAAGTTTTTTGAAAAAAGTACATTTTTTTTAAATTTAAATAAATCATACAGTAATGCACTTACGTGTCCCATGTTGGACTTAAAATTGTCTCTAGGACTTGTACTTTCCTGTGCAAATTGTGCGCATATTGCAAATTAATTGGAAATATGCAAAAAATCTACCGAAATTTTGACTTATTTTTTCGGATCGAAAAATGTAGATCTTCCTATCGTTGAAATTTAATCGAAATGGCATTATTGCCATTTGGAAGCTGATATTTTTTCACGAATTAAAAAAAAAATGTTCTATGACCAACAGCTGAGAAAAATTTTTTTCTGAAATTTACACATATCGTAGTTGAATACTGTTATATCAAAATAAAAAATAGTCTGCAATGATTGACCCAATTTTTTACAGTAAACTTAATTTTGTTGGGCCCTGTTAACATATGGCGATTTTTTGAAAAAAAAAATAAAAATTTCTCGGTTCCTGTTGGTCGTAGGACAAAATTTTTTTAAATTAAATTTTCACGAATTTAAAAAAAATTTCCTACAACCAAGAGGAGACGAGAAAAAAAATTTTTTTTTTTCAAAACGCCATGACCTCATTTTACGGGGCTCGGACTATTTTTTATTTTGAACTAACAGTATTTAAATACAATTTGTATAAATTTCAGACCTTAATATTAATAAATGAGCTCGCAACAATTTCTGGCAAATAAAAATTTCAGCTGTTGGACGTAGAACATTTTTTTTTTAAATTCATGATAAAATATAATTTCAAAAAAAATTTATCCTACGACCAACAGGAGCCAAGAAAAAAATTTTTTTTTCAGAAAATCGCAACGTGTAAATTTCAGACCTTAATATTAATAAATGAGGTTGTAGCAATTTAAAAAAAAAAATTTCTGGGTTCCTGTTGGTTGTTGGACATTTTTTTTAAATTCATAGAAAAATGTCAGCTTTCAATTGGCAATAATGCCATTCTGATTAAATTTCAACGATGACAAAAAGATTTACATTTTTCAACTCAAAATAAGAAGTCAATGTTTCGGTAGATTTTTCGCATATTTCCAATTACATATTTTGCAATATACGCACAATTTGCGAAGGAAGTACAACTCTTAGAGGAAATTTTTTTTTCCGAAAAACTCAATTTTGGCAAAAATTATAAAATATTTTGCAATTTTACAAAAATGCACTTATTCCACTTGGCCAAAGACTGCATATTCTGAAAGTTTTGTGAAAAAATCTTTTTTCGTTTTAAAGATGTAAGTTTTGAAAAAATGTGTTTTTTAGTCGTTTTTTGCAATAACTAATATATTGTTTATAAGTTGACATCAAGTTAGACTCAAAAATTTTTGTTATAAAAATTCTACAATTTTGTCTAAAACATTTTTTTCTAAAATGTTTTCGATAACTGTTTTGCAAACTTTGGACGCCATTTTGAAAATGAACTTTTTTATTCTTTTTTTTAGTAGAAGTAGGCAAAGAAAATTGCTGTACAAAAAAACAAGATGAGATTCCCTTCAAAGTGTTGCGTTTTCAAAGACAAAAAAAGCAAAAAATTCGATTTTTTTATTTTTTTTTACTTATTTGACTCTTTTTTTTAGTGAAGTAGGTAAAGAAAATTGCTGTACAAAAAAACAAGAAGAGATTCCCTTCAAAGTGATGCGTATTCAAAAGAAAAAAAANTTGCGAAATATTTGACAGTTTCTGCAAAAATTAAGTTTTTTGAAAAAAGTACATTTTTTTAAAATTTAAATAAATCATACAGTAATGCACTTACGTGTCCCATGTTGGACTTAAAATTGTCTCTAGGACTTGTACTTTCCTGTGCAAATTGTGCGCATATTGCAAATTAATTGGAAATATGCAAAAAATCTACCGAAATTTTGACTTATTTTTTCGGATCGAAAAATGTAGATCTTCCTATCGTTGAAATTTAATCGGAATGGCATTATTGCCATTTGGAAGCTGATATTTTTTCACGAATTAAAAAAAAAATGTTCTATGACCAACAGCTGAGAAAAATTTTTTTTTCTGAAATTTACACATATTGTAGTTGAATACTGTTACATCAAAATAAAAAATAGTCTGCAATGATTGACCCAATTTTTTACAGTAAACTTAATTTTGTTGGGCCCTGTTAACATATGTCGATTTTTTGAAAAAAAAATAAAAATTTCTTGGTTCCTGTTGGTCGTAGGACAAAATTTTTTTAAATTAAATTTTCACGAATTTAAAAAAAAATGTCGTACAACCAAGAGGAGACGAGAAAAAAATATTTTTTTTTTTTTCATAACGCCAGGACCTCATTTTACGGGGCTCGGACTATTTTTTATTTTGAACTAACAGTATTTAAATACAATTTGTATAAATTTCAGACCTTAATATTCATAAATGAGCTCGCAACAATTTCTGGCAAAAAAAAATTTCAGCTGTTGGTCGTAGAACATTTTTTTTTTAAATTCGTGATAAAATATAATTTCAAAAAAAAATTTATCCTACGACCAACAGGAGCCGAGAAAAATTTTTTATTTTTTTTTCAGAAAATCGCAACGTGTAAATTTCAGACTGCATATTCTGAAAGTTTTGTGAAAAAATCTTTTTTCGTTTTAAAGATGTTTTTTTTTTAAAATGTGTTTTTTAGTCGTTTTTTGCAATAACTTATATATTGTTTATAAGTTGACATCAAGTTGGACTCAAAATTTTTGTTATAAAAATTCTACAATTTTGTCTAAAACATTTTTTTCTAAAATGTTTTCGATAACTGTTTTTTGCAAACTTTGGACGCCATTTTGAAAATGAACTTTTTTTATTCTTTTTTTTAGTAGAAGTGGGCAAATAAAATTGCTGTACAAAAAAACAAGATGAGATTCCCTTCAAAGTGATGCGTTTTCAAAAGACAGAAAAAGCAAAAAATTCGATATTTTGATTTTTTTTACTTTTTTGACTCTTTTTTTTTAGTAGAAGTAGGCAAAGAAAATTTCTGTACAAAAAACAAGATGAGATTCCCTTCAAAGTGATGTGTTTTCAAAAGAAAAAAAAAAGCAAAAAATTTATTTTTTTTAAATTTTTTGCCTCTAGTTTTTAAGTAGATAAAATTTCCTTCAAAATAAGAGGTTATAAAGTATTTTTGGATGAAAATTGACTGATATATGTGGCCGCTCAAACTTGGCCAATTTTTCGATTTTCGTTTTAATTCCCATTTTTTCCAAAAAAAATAATTTGTTGAAGGATTTTTATCACATGACTTGTTCGAAGGGTCATTAAAAATGAAAAAACCACGGGGTGCTAATAAATTAAATGGTTGAAATTGAACATAGGGGTGAAAATGCATTTTTGTAGTTTTTTAAATATAGCACGAAAATGAAGCAAAATTTCGTTAATAAACAATTTTCAAAAAAGCAAAAAATAAAATTTTTTAATTTTTTTTACTTTTTTAACTCTAATTCTTTTTTTAGTAGAAGTGGGCAAAGAAAATTGTGATACAAAAAAACAAGATGAGATTCCCTTCATAATGATGCACTTTCAAAAGTTTTTCGACAAATATTGACTGAGTTATAACCGGTCAAATTTCAATATTTTTTAGATTTTCGTTGTTTTTAATATAAAAATGATTATAATTCTTATTATTTTAAAAAAGTAATGGTAAATGTTAAATACAACGAAAATCTAAAAAATATTTAAGTTTGACCGGTTATAACTGTCAATATTAGTCCAAAAATTTTTGAAAACGCATCATTTTGAAGGGAATCTCATCTTGTTTTTTTGCACATCAATTTTCTTTGCCTACTTCTAATAAAAATCAAAAAATAAGTCAAAAAAGTAAAAAAAAATCAAAAAATATTTTTTGCATAAAATTTTTCTTTTAAGTTTTTTAAATAAGCCATTTCACTGGAAAATTAAATTCTCTAAATAATTTTTCTTTTGTACTCTAGTGAAATTTTGCTTTGTTTTCGAGCTACAATTAAAAAACTGAAAGGGGTGCATTTTCATCCCTATCTCCAAATTCCACCCTCTAATTTAATAGCACTCCGCGGTTTTTTCATCTAAAATGACCATTTGAACGATTCATGCAATAAAGTTGCTTGAACGTCATAGTTTCTTTTAACCCTGTTTTTTTCTATATAATCAATAGCCTATAAAGTAGTTCATTCAATTCTACTGAATTTTTACGTGTTTCACTGAACTAAATTTTGTCGCGTAAAAATCTAACTTGATTGGACAAGTAAATCTGGGTTTATTCGGGTGAAACGCACTTTACCAGGTTGCCGTGGATTAAATAAGGAACAAAATGGAATACGACGAACACATTGTTTTTATTTATGGAAATCTGTTAACAAAAATTTGTTCCGCGATGTGTATTTTTTCCTGCCTCCTAAATGATTCTCTTTTCAGGGCGATCTAAGGCGAATGTGGTCCGAACCGTTCAAATCGTTGTCCGTATCGAAGCACCTCCAGGACGTGTGATAGACTGTTGTTCACTGTTGACTTAAAATTTAGGGAATAAAAAGTGTTGAGACATTAGTGAGTGGAAAACTGCGTGCATTTCATGAACATGTTTACGAATTCTCATTTATTATATATAATATAGAATCTATTGTCAATTTTAAAGAAGATACTACTTATTTATAACATAAACGATGGTCGTGGGACCGCCAGACCTGGCGCCGTAACGGAACACGTCTTCGATTTTTATATTATTTTCTTGGGAAGATCGATTCATCGTTCCGATTCGGCTGGGTCTCGCGGTTGTCTCGCGCGACGAGGAATTTCCGAGACGTTACGTGAAAACTACTACTTTTTTGACCAAAAGTTGAGTCATTTTGAAAAAAAACACAAATTATTGTTTAATGACCTCAAATGTCGAAAAATTTTAACAAAAAAAGAAAATGTTGTTGACGGTAATCCGGTTTTTAGGTTATGTTTACTCTGTTCAGAGCGACATTGGAACGCTTTGAGAGGGCTCTATAGCAAATAGCCAACCAGCAATACATTTTTATAGATTTTATTACACAGTTAGTCCAAATATGAACTAATGCACAAATAACAGACTTTCCTCCATTCTAACACGGATTTTCCATAAAAAGAGTTAGTTTGAAACTCAAATTACTTTTTCGTGTAAAGAAATTTGTAATTTACGATGCCGCTTGTTCAAAAGCGGCAAATTATGGAGGAAAGTGTTATTTGTGTATTGATTCATATTTAGACAAACCGTGTAATAAAATCAATAAAATATGTATTGCTGGTTGCCTATTTGCTATAGAGCCGTCTTAATTTTTAATGAGACTATTATTAATCCGGTCTCGGAAATTTCTCCAACAGTTGTTTAATAAGGGGAGGGCGGTCCGTTCGGAGATGGCGTTTAGTGTTGCCGTCAAGGAATCCGGCGCCCTTCTCGAGTTTGATACGAAAGAGAAAAATTTAGAGAAGTTTAAAAACTTACTAACTGTTACATTACGCGATGTCACCTTTCGGTTGGTTTTCGGGCAATCAGTATTGAACGACCTGCACTTGAATTTTATTTCCCTTTCTGTGATAATTTAACCTCCAAAAATCTCCTAGTGTTGTTTTCGATTCGGATTCGGTTTTGATGGATTGATTTTGAGGAAAATTTTAAGTGATTATGAAATTGTTTATTTTATCGCAAGGAATTTACAGGATGATTTGGCTTTTCGTTGAGACCGGACCGTATTTCCTCTTTGTACGTTCTCGGATGAGATCGGAAAGTTTTAGGTTATGCGCAATTTTCGCAAAAACTCATGACATATTCTCAAAGACTACACCAAGAGACTTCCTTTTTAATATAAAGAGTATATTCCTGAAAACGGGCAGAAATTTTTGTATTTCAGATTTGGCGCCCGATGTGGGGCAAAATGATGAGTATAAATATTTCAATATAAATTTACACCAGTGCCAAATAAAATGACAAGGACCAATTGTCGGTTTATCTAAACAACCATGACATTTATATTGCAACTTTCATTACAAAAAAAAGGACCAAAATATTAATTGTGACAATTTTTATATCTTCAATGGTTGAAAAAAACAGATATTTCATAGTTCTGGAAAAAATCTCTAAGGAAACATATTTAATTAATTTGTTCATTAAAATTTTTTTTTGAGTTTATTCGATGGAGAAATGCGAATCTTAACAAGTTTTAGTTCTGGATGATGTCCAGATTTGATCCGGATTTTATTAAACGTACAGGGTGTCTTTTTTTTGGGTCAATTCTTCGTAAAATCTTATCTCAAGTGTAATTTAGTAATTTTTTTTATGAAGCCTAATATTTTTGAAAAGTGTAAATTTTTATTTCTGTTCAAACATTTAAAATACTTGAAAATTTTAAAGTAACACCTATTTTAAATGTCATGGCAACCAAATGCAAACAAAAAAAAATTATTAAAGAAAACCCATTTCTTTTATTTTCTATGGTATATTTTTAATTTTTATTTTAGGATTTTATATAAATCCTAAAAATTACGTAGAACTATCAATTAATGAAAATACAAATATGGGGATTAATTGCATTGGACACCCTGTATATATAGAAAAAAATAATGCTCTAAAGATTTGAAGGGTGTTTTAGATCAAACCGGAACACTGTATATTCAAATAGAAATAATAAATCAAATTGTCCGCGATAAGTTTTACATATTTATGTTTAGACAACATAACCTCACTTTACTATATGTTTTTTTACCGTTTCAGGATTATGAACATATCCAACCTCAAACTATATCGTGTTTCTCTTATATTGCACAAAAGACTGTTATTATTTTCAACACGACACTTTTCGCAGTGTAGCCATTTTGGTTATTTAATTCTGAATCATCCTGTATATTTCCAGTGCCCTCTATTTTTAACTTGTTTTTTTTTTGACTACAAAGCGGCAAGTGGTAAATGTATCTATTTTTTTTTACAGCTTAGTACGTATTTTAATTAATATCGGATTTATTTCATTATGACGGACCAACACCATCGTAGCTACTATAAAACCAGTGAAGGAAACTTTATAAAATCGCAATAAAAGCTCCTATAAACTGCAACAGGAAATATTTACCTCCTCTGCTTTGTAGTAAATTCATTTATGAAATCGTGTGGAAGACCCTACACAATATTACCCTTACCCTGTGTCTTATTTGTATGAACGTACATGATTTTGAAATGTTTTTTTTTTTAACCAAACTAATACAATTAACTCAGTTCTACGAGATGCAATTTTTTTCATACTAAACATTATAAACGTACAGTGACAAAAAAAGTTTGCAGTACACCAAAAAGTAAAATTTAAACGCGCAAAGTGGTTTTTGTTTAGTATCGAACAAAACAGCGTTATCAACAATTGTTAAAACTTTGTTTGCAAACTTTTCACTCACCAGTACAATTTAATTCCCTGATTCTTATCCTAAATTTTAAATTTTAGTTTGAAGAAACTTGGTAGTAATTCGATTAGCCCAACAAGAACATGTAAAAATCAAAAAATTAAGGCGTTTTGCTTTTATTAAGATATAAACATAATAGAAGGAAAAGAATCAGGGAAAAAGTGCTCCAAGTTCTTGAAAACGAAACATCTTTTGATATTTTTAGCGTAACGTCTGACATTTTTTCACCGAATCGGTGAATATTACGTCACATTTGAATTTGGGGCGTACATTGAGACTCTCTCACTCTACTCTAAAATTAACGATACGTTTTAAGTAAAAAAAAAAAAGTTATCGGTTATCCGCAAGTTAGACAATTTCTTCACCTGATAGCTGCTAGTGCAATTATTTTTAGGTTATGTAATAAAGTATCGTCCTCACACCATTCTTGTATTTATGAATCATTCTTTTTTTTTAGTTGCTTCCCATGAATTAAAGTTAATATGTAAATTAAATTTAGGGTTAAGACATTTGTGTTATTGTTTTTTTATATATGAAAAATATAATTTAATTTATGTACTGATGTGACTGTCTTCATATTTTGTGAAAATGATCCGTACTTTTTTCTTCTTCGTTCATCACACTACTAATCGAGAGTAAAAAAAAACGACTAATTTTGAGATAAAAGCAGTTTTTCTTGTCATTGCATGTGAAATATGGACACTAACTTAACTAACTTGTTGCGAAGGTTTTTTTTTTATTTTTGGTATGTCCTAATATTTAATTTTGTCCCCATTTCAATGATTTGCCCTTCCTCATTAATTGGATGTGTACATTAGTACCACGGCGTGTATAAACCAGCAATTATGCTGCCTTGTCGACACTGATCTTTTTCAGCAGGATTTGGTGACCTTGGATAGAGAAACGGCGATCGGGATGGTAATAAGAATTTTTCATAGTGCAGGAAAGCGAATTAAAATAGATGATTGTGATAAATGTATAATTTAAAAGTAGTACAATTATTTATTTAAGGAATTAATTATAAATTTATTACTAATACCATCAGATCTTTTTCTATAATCACCTTGGGTAGTTTGTTCGGCCTTTGTTAGTGACAATGCGTTGCTATAATTAATAATTGTTGGTATAATTGCATTTCGAAGAAAAATGCAATACTATTAATCAAACTAAGTATCAAGGAGACAAAAGTGAAAGCATAAGCAGTAAATGCTCTTACATGACTATGTCACCCTGTATATGCAAGAAAAATAACCAACGAATTAATAAAATACTTGTTTAAAAAAAAATGATTGGAAAAACAAAAACTGTTCTTGGTGAGAAAGGTAAACTATTGAAATTTTTTTGATATATAGTATTGTTAATCTGTTTTTCGATTTTCGATTTAAAGCAGAAATTATTAAGGTAATATAAACATTTAACATTCAAAATATATTTATTGTACAGATAGGTCACTAAACGATTTATTTTTGAAAAAAAATACCTAACACATATAATTCTGAACATTCAGTGGTTCAAGCGCATTATTATGCGCCCCCCGTTTAGATTTTAAAGGTCTACAAATGATTTTTACGGTCTATTTTCTATGGCTCGCATAATTTTGTAATGGTCTAAAGTCTAGAGTATCGGTGAATTGCTTCCGAGTACCATTTTACATTTTTATATCATTGGTGTGGACACAATCCTTGGAATTTTTTTATCCTTAAAAATGACTGAAAATCATTGCTCGCGGCAGTATTTTATATTTGTAACATACAAACTTTTAATATTCTTTTCATTTTACCATACATTCAAACTATATTTTATAATAAAACATACAAGTGGGTTAGAGAAGGCGCAACCTGATATTCACATTGCAGTAGATTACTCAGTTCGAAGTGGAGTGGGGTACAACCTACAAAGATGTGTCGAATTTATTTGTAACAGTTTATGAATAAAACTATAAATGCTTGTCTATAGGGTAGCTTCTGAACTCGAAGGCCAATATGGTCATAAAGAAAACAAATATAATAGGTTGTCTGTCTACAGGGTGATTCATTAACAATGGGAAAGTCGAAAGCCGAAGATACTACACGTGAAATGGTGACCATTGGCGCAAACATGCCTTGTCCGAAAGTTGATAGTTTCGGAAATACAGGGTGTTGAAAGTTAAAATTTTAAATCGTTTTTTTGCGATTATTCTGAAAATATGTAGGTTAGGAACTTGAAAATTTGTGAAACTATATTTGTAAGGCGACGAATAAGATGCGTGTTGTAATTTCAGCATTGCTC